TATGTATATGTAATGTAAAACAAACAATGTGTAAAACAAACCCTAACCAAAAACAAAATCAGCTGCACAAGCCGTATTCGCACCGGAGCGTGATTTGCATGATTCGTGTGGTCGCGACACCTCCCCTTCACACTGTCATCTAATTCAATTCAATTAATTAACAATTAATAAATCAAGAGAAAATAATTAAAACTAAATTCAAATTGAGAGAAAGCCAAACAAACTGCAGGAGGGAGCTGATGCTACACACACACACCCAATTCCCGATCGCTGAACTGTGCAGGCCTACAATCTAGCACGCAGCTAAACCAGTGCCGAACAGCAGACTCCATCCTAAACTGATGCCAGCAAAGGAAGAGGGAGGAGTGAGAGAAGAACGGAACGGCCCTAGCCTATCGTTCCCCCCTCTACTCCCGAGTTGTCCTCAAGGAACTTAGAAGTCTTGTGACATCCGGGGAGGTAGGCAAAAATGAACCGCACTGCTGGCTCAGCAGTGGCTCCAACAAATGAGCTTCTTGGAACTTGAATAGCAGCCTAGTCTCCTACTTACCAAAACTTGGCCCTTTGTCATCAGGAACTAAGACAATTGTGACATCCGGGGAGGTAGGCAAAAATGAACCGCACTGCTGGCTCAGCAGTGGCTCCAACAAATGAGCTTCTTGGAACTTGAATAGCAGCCTAGTCTCCTACTTACCAAAACTTGGCCCTTTGTCATCAGGAACTAAGACAATCGCTCTTCCGAAGAAATACTCTGGTCTTCATGTGAGTGCTGGGAAAACACTGGTTTCACACACTTCATCCCACACCGGGCAATTTGACAACACTTCCAATTTCCAAGGCAGTCATCATCAGTGTTGCAGCCTGGTTTCTCACATATTTTCGAAAACGTATTGTGTCCACTTCTTGGTTGCCTTTGTCCTCTTTTGGTTGCCTGTGTCCTCTTTTGAAGAGAAACGGAACTTCTTCTGTTTCTTTTGTTTATGAGGTCGGCCATGATGGGGATGAGGCAACTTTCGCACAGGACACCACCCAGGCTTCCCTGTCATGTCAGGAGACTCTGGGAGAAACAAATGTGTTTGTTGCAGCTGCCATGTCATTCCTTTTTTTTTTTTAAGCAGATGAGTAACTACTGCCCCAGGATGGGTGTTTGCATTATATCTGTGGGAGCCAGTGGTTGGGGGATTAAGGCACAAAGACCTATAGCCAATACTTCTGAAATGCTAATAAATCATCGGGACAGTATTTCAGTTTCTACACTGTCAGCGGTTAGGAATGCTGTGTGAATGTCTTGTGTGGTGACAAGTTGATTTCGACTGATGGTTTGGATCCCTTTTAGTCTGATTGAACAAAAGTACTTTAAAAATAATAATAAAGTGAGGTCAATGCTAATCCAACCACTCACTCCCATTTGGGGGGGGGGAGCTTGATTTTAATAGACACTCAGAAGTAGGGGTTTGGGGCTTAGGACTTGGTACAAAAGACTCAGATCCACCTTGGGACTTGGACCCAAAGATTTGCCTATATCCCATGCCAAAGAGATCCAGAAACACAGAGAGATAATGTCAAGGACCCAGAAGTGGAACTGCTTGGAATCTCTGAAGGGTACAAGATGGGTCCCTCCCCCCAAATCTAGATATCTTGTATTCCAATAAAAAGCATCTTAGAGCCCTTCAGCACATACTGGTTTTGTCACTGCAACATTACAGCAGTTTGGTTCCTCTTGAACATTTGTGCCACCATTCTCAAGATTCCAAGGATTTTCAGATTGGTGAGGCATTCCAAATTCTCACCAAGAACTCAAGAAAACTCCCTAGAACTTTATAACATGCACCTTTAAGCATTTCATAAAACTACAAATCCCAGGAGTCCATATGATAGATCTATAGCAGTTAAAATGGCAGCAAACTGCCATGCCTGCAAAGTATAGGCACACTCCTAGACTCCAGAACTCCCTAGAAGACGTGGCAACATACACCTCTGTTGTAATGTAAAAATCCACAGACATTTTTTCTACAACAAAATTTAAGCAACTTTTTTGTTACTGAGAAACGTAATTTTAACCTATTAGTGCTCATTTTCAGGGTACGTAAAATGAGCTTCTGATTTTTTTTAATTCAACAGTGTTATAATGGTTGTTGTGGGTTTTTCGGGGTGTTTGGCCGTGTTCTGAAGGTTTTTCTTCCTAACCTTCAGGACATGGCCAAACAGCCTGAAAAACCACAACAACCATCAGATGCCGGCCGTGAAAGCCTTCAAGAATACACTGTTATAATACTATAATTTGTTTAGATGGCCATAATCATGTTTCTTATATGTTTTGTGTGCACACTATGAGCTCTTGGGTGGGGTTTTGGGAGCGTGTGTGTGTTTTGGTCTGGTCTCTGAGAGTTCTTTGTGAATTCCGTTGTATGTGTATACGGCGTATATACGTTCAATGACAATAAATTTAAATTGAAATAGAATTCAGACTAAATAAACAAAAAGACAGAGAGAAAGAGATTCAAACTCACCGGTTGTCAGCACCACGGGTTCAATGGTGCCAGGAGTCTCTTCTGTGGTCGCACCGGGCAGTGTTGTGGTAGAAGAATCTGGCAGAAGAAAAGACATGACATGATATTCTACCAAGTGAAACACCACATTTAATTCAGCACCCTGGAATTACTTTTGAGATTTGATTGTGGTTTAACTACATGTTCTGTGGTGTCAAGTTGATTTTGACAAGAGAAGGGCACGACTCGAAAAAATGGCTTTTTTTTCTTTAAAGCCTTTCGAAGCAACACTGATGTGATATGTCACCAAAAAGAAAAGAAAAGAAAAGAAAAGAAAGCTTCCTCTGTTCTCTCCCCCTGCACAGGGGAGCAGGAAGAAGTTTTCAATTTCCTGAGATCATGAAGCAACTTAATCAAAGCACAGAGGAGGAAACAGGAGAGGGCAAGGATGAATTTGTTTGTATCTTACTGTGTTTTTTTCTTTCCATTTATAAAGAAAGAAACAGAGGTACAGAGTCACTTGATGTGCAGCGTGGTCAATCCTCGCATGTGAATTCAAGGAAATTCAAATGAGATATTGCATCTCAAAGTGACCCTGTTTAGCACAATCTAGATTCAAAATGTGATATGCCATTTATTGTGACCATTGCATTCAGATGTGACCATCAGGTGGTTTCGGGACACAAAACCTTCGGGCCTTCTCGGCTGTGGCTCTTCGCCTTTGGAACAATCTCCCTCCTGACATTCGCGCGGCCCCTACGCTGGGCATCTTTAAAAACCAACTAAAAACATGGTTGTTCATTCAGGCCTTCCCTCCAGCCAATTCTTGATTTTCTTTTCTTCTGTTCTCTATTTTTACTTTATTGTAGTTGTTGTTCACACTACTTATGTATTTGTTGTGTTATATTGTTCTATTTTATATTGTAAGCTGCCTAGAGTGGATGAGTCGCCCAAATAGGCGGGGTATAAATCAAATAAATAAATAAATAAATAAATAAATAAATAAATAGATGATGATGATGATGATGATGATGATGATGATGATACCTCCCCCCTGAAAAATGAAATCGCCCCCTGGGGGGCATTATTGCCCACGTTAAGAACCACTGATCTAGATTCAAAATGTGGTATGCCATTTATTGTGACCTTTACATTCACATGTGACCATCAGGTGGTTTCAGGACACAAAACCACACTGCATTATAAAGTGACCAAAATCAGCTTGTTCCTCTCTTCACTTCCATGCCCGTGCATCCTCTTTTGGCTCTCCCTCCATAAAGAGTGGAGGGAATGTAAAAAACTATTAAAAAAGGAATTGGGAAGTGGCATACTTGCATCATATTATGGCTCCTCCCCCCATAAGTGGAGGAAATGTAAAAAATTATTAAAAAAGGAATTGGGAAGTGGCATACCACTGCATTGGCTTGACACTCAAGTGACATAGTGCTAGATTTCAAGAAGTAAAGCAAAGTGTCTTCTTATATATTGTTTAAAGCATTCTCTGGGTGGTTTACAATTTAATTAGGCAGGCTACATATTGCCCCCCACAACAAGCTGGATAGTCAATTTATGAAGCTGGGAAGGATGGAAGGTTGAGTCAACTTCAAGCTGGCTACCTGAGCCCAGGATCCAACTCAGGTTGTGAGCAGAGTTTTCACTGCAGCACTGCAGTTTAACCAGTGTGCCGTGAGGCTCATAAAAAAGAATGGCAGAAATCCTTCTTTTCCTCCTCTCCTGTGTCCCTCTCTGAAGGGAGTGGAGGAAAGCTGAATTTCTAAAAAATATATTGGGAAATGGTGCATGGTTGCCTTGGTTTGCCAGAAAGTGGCATAGTGCATGATTCTAAGGGGAAAAAAGGGAGAAAGAATAGGCAGTAAAGAATGCAAACAGGAAAAAAAATTCATTTGAAATATGATGTTGGAGAAGAACTTTGGAGATACTGTACCACAGACTGCAAAAAAGATACATAAATAGGTCAAACCTGAATTCTCCCCAGAGAATACTTAGTCAAAAATGACTAAACTGAGGCTATTGTACTTCTGTCACATTATGAGAAGACAAAACTAACTGGCGAAGACCAGAATGTGGGGGGGAAAGTTGCAAGCAACAGAAAAAGAGGAAGACCAAGCAAGAGACGGACTTACACAATATAGGAAGCCACGGCTATGAGTTTGCAAGAGCTGTGAAAGGCTGTTAATGGCAGCACTTTTTAGAGGTCGTTAAGTCATGAGGTCATCGTAAGTCAGAAGGGACTTGACAAAACATTAACAAGAACCTTTTGTTCAGACAGGTTTCAGCAGCTGACTGACTGGGGAGAAGGGGCTTTTAAGAGAGAAGGGGCTTTTATAGGCCCATTTGAAGTTTTTGTTTGGATGTGTTTTTAAATTGGCTTTTTAAGTTCTCCCTGCCGTTCATTTCAGCACAGGAAGTCACAGTTAGAATAGGCCCATTTGAATCAATGGAATATATAGAGGCGGTGACTCCCTATATTTCCATTGTTCCTATGGGCCTACTCCAGTGCAATTTAGTACAGCAACCCACAAGATTTCGACCTGTAATTTCTTTTTTTAAAATTAGTATTACAATGTTTGTACCTGTTTGTATCCACTGGTTTTTTATTTTGTTGTAAATCATTCTCAGTTCTAGTTCTGAGAGTAAGGAACAATATAAATCATATCAATCAACCCATGGATGTCATATTTGTTTTCACAAGAAGAATTAAAGGAATAAAGAGCAAATCAGACTCATCAGTTGTCGGTATTCTTCCCTCGGGGTGCCTATGAACTGCTCCAGGGTTGTCGCAGACTGTACTGCGGTTGTAACATCTGGCAGAAACAAATATATAACATATTGTTCCCAACTGAAGAGCTTCAATCTGTGGGACACTCTTTCATTGCTTTTAAAGTTACTGGTATTGTCTTTTTTTTCTTTTTTCTTTTTTTCATATCCAGAGTTCCAATTTTGTTCCCATTACCTATTCATTTTTTCTTTCTTTTTTTTACTGGGATGGAGGGGCAGAAAAACAGAGATAAATCGAGACCTGTTACCGGGACAGTTGCTTCTGCATATATCTGCCGGGTGGACTATATTTTCAATTTGGATAGTGCCAGTATTTGATAACATCAAAGACAAAAAACATTATCTTGATATGTTTGAGAATAAAATGATTATAAGGTAGTCTGTGAGCCCCTTCATGGATTGCTGCCTTGTCGTGGTGAAGGGGCTTGAGTAATTCAGAGAAGCTATGAGCTATGCCATGCAGGGACACCCAAGATGGACAGGTCGTAGTAGAGAGTTCTGACTAAATGCGCTCAGCTTCCTATAGCAAAATTCAAGATCAAAGTGAAGAAAGTAGGAAAAACCACTCGGCTACTCAGGTATAATCTAAAACAAATCCCTTATGGATACACAATGGAAGTGAAGATTTAAGGAACTAGATTTGGTGAGCAGAGTGCCTGAAGAACTATTTGTTTATTTATTTAATTTATATGCCGCCCACTCTACCCAAAGGTCTCTGGGCGGCTATGGATGAACTATGGATGAAGACTCATAACATTGTAAAGGAGGCGGCAACAAAAACCATGCTGAAGAAAAGGAAATGCAAGAAAGCATAGTGGCTTTCCAACAAGGCCTTACAAATAGCAGATAAGAGGAGGGAAACAAAATGCAAGGGAGATAGGGAAAGTTACAGAAAATTGAATGCAGACGTCCAAAGAATAGCAAGGAGAGATAAGAGGGCCTTAAAATTTGAAAAGATGACGCTGTTAAGGTGCTACATTCAATATGCC